AGGGAGAGGAAGAAGCAGGCCTCCCGCGGAGCAGGGAGCCTGATGCGGGGCTCGATCCCAGGACCCTGGGATCATGACTTGAGCTGAAGGCAGACGCTTAACAACTGAGCCACCCAGGTGCCCCTGGAGACATTTTTGATGGTCAGACTGGGAGGTGCTATTGGTACCTAGTAGGTAGAGACCGAGGAGCTGCTAACCATCCTTTGATGTAAAGGATAGCCCCCAAGCAAAGAATCATCTGGCCCAAAATGTCAGTACTAGGAACGTTGACAAACCCTGTTCTAAGCTAGTGTTTCCAAAAAATCCTGTGATGAGAACTACCTGGGATCTTTGTTAAAGTATTCTGCTTTCCAAATCCTCCCCACCGCAGAGTTTCTAACTCACTGGGTCTAGGTAGGATAGAGCCACAAAGGATTCTTACTCAGGAAATTTGGGCAAGTGTTCCTAATTCATCTCAGGTCAGCTAAGAAAATAGAATTAAACTTTGTTTCAGACAGTGGTTCCCCTGTCATCAGAATGACCTGGAGAGCTTATTAAAATACACACTGCTGCAGACCACCTCCAGAGTTCAGACTCAGCAGGTCCACTGTGAGTTCCAAGAATTTGCATTTCTAACAAGTTCCTGAGGGATGTTGATGTGGCTGATCCGGGGGCCTCACTTTAAGAACCACTGGTTTTTAAGGGGTTCCTTCTCCTGCAGGTGGGGATGCCTCCATCATTCCAATGCTTGAGTTTGAAGATCAGCCCTGCTGTCCTATCCATAGAGATTGGGCCAATAACCCATTAGTAGAAGCCAGTAGTGACCTGGAAGATCCTGAAGATAAAAAGAAATGTGAAGACTTGGGTAGTCCTGTGACCAAAAAGATGAGGCCTGAGCCTGGGATTCCTGACAATGTGGCCCACCATCAGAGTTTTGGCCATCAGGAAAGTGGCCCAGTCCCACCAAGTGTCAGTGGCTCTCATCTTACTGCAGAGGAACTGGCCACTGTCACCGGAATGGCCCCCAGTGGTGCCAAAGTAGTGGACGTTTATAGAACCGGAGCCAAATGTGTGCCGGGAGAAGCTGGAGACTCGGGGAAGCCTGGTGCTGCGTATCACCAGGTGGGGCTGCTCCGAGTGAAGCCCGGCCGGGGAGACCGGACTTGCTCCCTGTCCTGCAGTGACAAGCTGGCCCGGTGGAACGTCCTCGGATGCCAGGGGGCACTGTTGATGCACCTTCTAGAAGAGCCCGTCTACCTGTCAGCCGTGGTGATTGGGAGGTGCCCATACAGCCAGGAGGCCATGCAGAGAGCTCTGACCGGGAGGTGAGCAGGGAGGGAGGTCGAAGCAGTCTGAGAGGATGTCCAAAGAGCCTTTAAAACATCTATACGTTTTGATCCAGCGGTTCCATTGCTAGGAATTTGTCCTAAGGAAATAATAAGAAAGCGCTCAAATGTTTAGCTTTGTGTGTAGTCATGTTTAAGAAAGAAAAGAAAACCAGTGAAATGACCAGCAGTAGATTAGGTGATTTTTGTTAAAACTAATATTGACGAATGTTTGACCTGGAAAGATGCTCATAATTTTTAAAGAGCAAGTTAAAAGATTATGATGAGTTCGTGTTGGTCTTAAAGTATATATGCACATAGAAAAAAAATTGTGGGAGGATATACACCAAGATATTGGTATGATTATCTCTGAGTTGTGATATTTTGGGTTTTTTTTTTCTTCTTTGTGGTTACTCTGTTTTTTAATTTTTGTGCAATGTACATATATATCACTACTGTAATTTTTAAAAACCATCAACGTCAGTGTCTTTGAAAGATTAAAGACAAAGGATGATCACTCAAATGTGGTCTTCCTAAGGAAGGGCAGCCAAGCCCAGTTAAGGCTGTGGTAAATGAGGGCAGAGTGAGGCCATGGCCAGGGGAGGCCTCTCATGTTGGATGCACTGCTCCCAAGGCCGAGTCCGGGAAGCACACTCACTAATTCCACTCCAGGGGGGTGTACCCAGGAGAAATGAAAACACGCATCCACATAAAAACTTGTACGTGAATGTTCATAGCAGTACCAGTCACAATAGCCACAAAGTGAAACAGCCCAAATGTGCATCAGCTGGTGAATGGATAAATGAAAGGTGATAGACTGTTACACTGGGTTATCAGCCCCAAAAAGGAGCAAAGGCTGGCTCAAGCTGCGACATGGATGAGCCTTGAAAGCTCTGTGCTAAGTGGCAGGAGTGGCATAGCGTATGATTTCACGGTGTGAAATGTCCAAAATGGGCAAATCCAGAAGTAGATTGGTGGGTGCTGGAGAAGGGTGTGGGGAGTGACTGCTGATAGGTGCAGGGTTTCTTATCAGGGGTGAAAGGTGATAAACTTAGATTGTGGTGACAGTGGCACAATTCTGTGAATATAGTAAAAAAAAAAAAAAACCCTTGAATTATACATTTAAAATGGATGAATTCTATGGTATCCACTATTTCCCAATAAGATGTTTTCAACGAAAGCACCCCTATGCCCAAGACATTTTCTGTGTTTTCCATGCTTTCCCTATTCTGAGGCTTTAGAGCTGCTGTCCACTTGGTTCCAGAGCAGTGTCACGTTGGCCTCTAGATGGTATGAAAGACCCAAGAGGGAAAAACGAAGCTTTTATATTATAGGAGAGTTTTGGTTTCTGGTGTGTTTGGAGGATTCCCTAGGAAGCAGATGCCAACAAGTTAATATTTCTAAGGGTTTGAAATCTTTCAAAGCCAGTACCAGGACTGGAGTTTAGAGTCCCTGAAGTCACTGAGAGGTGGTCACTCAGCTCATCGTTTTCACTTCAGAGAGATAGGAAGGGATCTTCCTCCGGCTGTAAGGCTCACATGATCTCGATTCTGTTCTGTCACACCCTCTCACCGAGACTCAGTGGTGGTGAAGGGGTCCACGGGCCTAGACACTGTCTTCCTCAAGGAGCATGCCCAAACTGAGTGCATTTTCCCTCACATTTAGGTGTCGGAATGTCTCAGCGCTACCCAGAGGCTTTGGAGTTCAAGAAGTGAAAATAGAGCAGTCAGGTTTCCTGTTTGAACAGAGCCGCTGCGCAGTGCAGGCCAAAAGGGCTGACGGCCCGGGCCGACTTGTTCCTTGTGGTGCAGGTAAGGTATCCGCACTCTGCTTGCCCTGGAGTAACTTTTCCCCAGACCGTGAAGTGGCCTGGGAGGGGTTGCATCCAGCCAGCAGGAAGGCAGCTTGTTCCCTGAGTCATCAGTAGTGTAGGCTTGACCACCCTGAGGCAGGTTCATGCTCGAGCAACTTTCTCATCCTGCCTTAGCCTGAGGTTCTTCGTCTTCAGATAA